TTCAAATCTTGACCCTAGCAGGTGCGGCCCCGGCTGGTCGCAGCCACGACCATGGCGGCCAGTGGCATGGGGCGTGCAAGCAGGCTGGGAGAGGGCCCGGTGGCCGCTGGGGGCGGGTGCGGCTGGCCAAGGGGCGGCGCGTGGCCGGCCAGGCGAGGCGCGGCTCCCAGCGAGGGTCTCCATGGTACCACGCAGCAGAGATGGCACTTGGCCACGGCGTCACGCAACAGGGCGGCGATGGGTCATGTCCGGCCTCGCCACGGCGGTGCGGCGAGCGCCAGAGGCGGAGCGCTCGTCGGGGCTGGGGCTAGGTGCGACGTGGCTGAGCTGGGTGGCGGGTGGCGCGACGGTGGTGGAAGAAGCACGCGAAATAAGATGCTGCAGCGAAGGAAAAAGAAATCAAACCGGTATTTGTGTGTAACCGAGGGCAATGGTGGATAATTTTCACCAACTCCATAAAATTACAGTTTTCAAAGCACCCCTTGAGGTGCTCTATGGATTTGGTGGATTTAGGAGCTAGATCCATGTTTTTGGTAGATCTAGAGTTCGTGGAGCTACGGTGTGTGGCTGGAAAAATTGAGAGCGGAGCTATTTTTTAGAATCTAGGGTTGCGTGGAGGTCTGGCAAACACCCCTGTGTAGGTGGTAGTGGTGCTGGTGACTACTGGTGAGTAATTCTTTAATGATGGAATATATGTAGCTGATACGAAATAGATTTAATGGTATTTTTGAGTTAATTTATGTGAAATGATAGATTTGCGTATTTTTTTCAACATGCAGCTAGGGTGTGATTCTATTTTGTTTTCTTGTGAAGGTTTTGGGATTCATTTTAGAAAAAAATTTGGTTCCAACCAAAATGGATGAATTTCGGGAAATTTCGTTTGAATTTGGGACTCAATTCGGTGAATTTTCCAGATTTGAAGCACAAAATTGATTTGAGACCTAACCGAATGGGCGAATTTCGCTAAAATTCGGACTATCTCGGTCGAATCCCAGAACCTTGAGACTAAACCTAAAGAAAATTAATGTACAATCTCATTTGCTTCAAATCTTGACCCTAGCAGGTGCGGCCCCGGCTGGTCGCGGCCACAACCATGGTGGCCATCGGCATGGGCGCGGGCGAGCAGGCCGGGAGAGGTCGCGGCGGCCGCTGGGGGCGAGTGCGGCTGGCCAGGGGGCGGCGCGCGCCCGGCTAGGTGAGGCGCGACTCTCGGCGAGGGTCTTCATGGCGCCATGCAGCAGGGACGACACTCGGCCACGGCGTCACGCAATAGGGCGGCGATGGGTCACGGCCGGCCTCGCCACGGCAGTGGGGTGAGCGCCAGAGGCGGAGCGCTCGCTGGGGCTGGAGCTGGGTGCGACGGGGCCTGAGCTAGGGTGGCGGGTGGCGCGACGTCAGTGGAAGAAGCACGCGAAAGAAGATGTAGCTGCTTAGGAAAAAGAAATCAAACCGGTATTTTTGTGTGTAACCGATGGCAATGGTGGGTAATTTTCACCAACTCCATAAAATTACAGTTTTCAAAGCAGCCCTTAAGGTGCTCTATGGATTTGGTGGATTTGGGAGCTAGATCCACGTTTTTTGCGGATCTGGAGTTCGCGGAGCTGGGGCGTTTGGCTGAAAAAATTGGGTGTGGAGCTATTTTTAGAATCTAGGGTTGTGTGGAGCTCTGCCAAACATCCCTGTGTAGGTGGTAGTGGCGACTACTGGTGAGTAATTCTTTAATGATGGCATATATGTAGGTGATACGAAATAGATTTAATGGTATTGTCGAGTTAATTTATGTGAAATGACAGCTTTGCATATTTTTTCAACATGCAGCTAGGGAGTGATTCTATTTTGTTTTCTTGTGAAGGTTTTGGGGTTTATTTTGGAAAAAAAATCGGTTCCAACCGAAATGGATGAATTTCAGGAAATTTCGTTTGAATTTCGGACTTAATTCGGTGAATTTTCAAGATTTGAAGCACATAATTCGTTTGAGACCTAACCGAATGGGCGAATTTCGCTAAAATTCGGACTATCTCGGTCGAATCCCAGAAACTTGTGACTCAGCCTAAAGAAAATTAATGTACAAACTCATTTGCTTGGCCAAATATCAAGATGATAGATGGATTTTATATTTTATTTACAACATGCCAACATACATCATGGGTACTACAAGCAAAGTACAAATGGTGGTCCAATGGCGAACGGCGCGTCAAGAGTTTTGTAGCTGAAAATGAAACTGCTTCCACACACAAGCACAAACACGCGCGGCCCACAAATCAGCTGCCACTCTTGTTCCTGCTGTTGCGAATGGACAATATTACCGTGGCGAAGGGCGGGTTCATCTTACCCTAACATGCACCGTGGCGAAGGGCGAAGGGCGGGTTCGTCGTCCATTGTCCCATGCAAGCTGCAATTCCGACGGCGTGTAGAGCCATAGGTGTGGGGATCAGCGGAGGTGTCTCCCACGAGCTGAGGGGAAGTATACTACTACACGTCAACGGTCTCATATTTCGTCTCGTACAGTACCACGCAGGATAGAATGACCTATCAAACAAAAACAACATAGGATCGAATGCATCTTCACGCAAGCACTACTAGTTCCTCAACTCCCATCTAGATAGATTTTTTTGTTTTCCTTTTTGCATGCAATATAACTACAAACTTAACCGTGATTCAGGATAATGTTGTACTCGCAGTTGCGACAAAAAAAAACACTAAAAAGGATATAATGTTTGCTTGTTGTTTGATCACAGCGGCAAATTCGCAATTCTAAGACATGACAGATCGAAAAAATGAAAAAAAAAGTCATTGGCTCACAAACACGGATTTAAATCCAGTACGTGATTGAAAAAAAAAAATTGGCCTTGTTTAGATGCCATCCAAATTTCAAGTTTTTTCACTTTCTCTCCATCACATCAATTTTTAGCCGCTTGCATGGAGTATTAAATGTAGGTAAAAAAATAACTAATTACACAGTTTAGTTGGAAATCACGAGATGAATCTTTTGAGCCTAGTTGGTCCACGATTGGACAATATTTGCCAAATAAGACGAAAGTGGTACTATTTATCGGGTTCAAAAAATTTGCAAAGTGAACAAGGCCTTTGACTCACAAACACACATTGAAAAAAAAATCTGGATCAAATCCAGTAATTCACAAAAAAAATCCACTACATGAAGTTTCTTGCGAGTTGCGATACAACAAGATTCCTACCACAAAACACACGACAGACACTCAGGCAAATGATGCGATGATGCTTCTTATCAGACTTCTGACCCGCCGGACGTACCACCTCTACTCATCCACGCTTTATTAAAACATAAACCGCGCTCATCCACTCAACTCGCTCGCTTCTCTTCTCCACGCGCTCATCCGATGGCTTGCTCGCTCCCTGCCGCCCCTCCCGCATCGCGCTCCGGGCCTGCTAGCGCCCCCGGGATGGACGCTGCGCCCGCGCCTAGCTCGCTGCCGGCCTGCCCGCCCACGCTCCCTCCCTCCCTTCCTCCCCCTCCGTGACCTCCATTGCTACCCCGCGCCCCCAGCGACCCGGCTCCCGCTCCCTCCACCGGAGACGAGGACGACTGCGGCGGCTTCGACGAGGTAGGTCAGTCCTCCTCTGGATCTAAGCCCTCCTCCTCCTCCTCCTCTGAGGGACGCGGTGGTGGCTAGGGTTCCGGCGAGATCTAGGGTCCTATTCCCTCCTCCCTCTGGCGAGCTCAAAGGTGATGGGCCAGAGGCTGGAGCAGCCTGCACCTCGAACCCATCCCCTTGCTGTTTATACGCTCTTGCTGTTTCTCTGTGTTGTAAGGGTATTTTTGGATGTTGTAATAAATGATTTTCGAATGTTGCAATAGGTGATTCATGTGTTGCAGAAAGGAAGTTCTAATGTTGGGATTATATTTTCCCCCCAATGTTGCAACTTGTGAGTTTTAACATTTTCTACGTGTTGTGGCATTGAAATTACATTTTTTTCAAATGTTGCAGTACTCAAAGGTGATTTTGAGATGTTTCTATTTCCATGTTTTATGGTTGATTTTGTGATGTTATAGTACTACTGTTTGAGATATTGCAGTTTTCGATGTTGCATTACATAATTTTCGATGTTGCCGTACATATTTTTTTTATGTTACACTACATAGTTTTTGTGATGTTGCAGTATTTTATATTCCGATGTTGCACTACATAGTTTACATAATTTACGATGTTACACTTGAAGTGTTCCATGCTCTTAGGAAGGGGGCGCGGTGGAGGAAGGGGGCGCGGTGGGGAACGAGGACAGGGGCGTGGTGGGGAACGGGGACAAGGGTGCGGTGGACGCAATTCTATTTGATTATCGTTTCTAGGTCGGGCGGGTTTACGAACGGGAGTAGCGTCTGGACGTATCTCGCGCGCCGGACATCCAGACGCTAGGAAAGCCACAAATGTTGCCATGCTACAATCGAGGCTAGAGGCATACACAGGGATACATTATCTGCTGCTATGGTTTTTCCCGATACAGTTAAGCTCTTACTAACCAAAGGATTCCTACCAAACATCGGAAACCTGATAACAGACAGCGGCGGATCCAGCTCATGAGGTTAGGAGGGGCTCTTTCTTCTTCTCCTACCTTCGGGGGGCTCCATTGTCTGAACGGCGGTAGCCCCCCGCCCCCGCGCTAGACAACAGATACAACAGGACATTACCTGAGCTCAAAATTAGACGGAAGCACTGTCCCTGGCTCCCTGCACTAGCTGGTAGCCGCTCTTGCTTCCATGAGGTCATCAATCATGCGGCGCAGATCACGGTGGGAAGAGCCGCCTTCCGCCATGGCTGCACGAGCCTTCGCTGAGAGCTCCTTGACTCTACTCATCCCCAGCTCCTCCGGGCTCCATAAATATGGCCAGCGCTCGTGCCACTGCCTCAGCAGGGACCAGCTCATGCTCTTCAGACCTCGTGCTTCTCACCCCGGCACCCTCTGGCCACAGCCGCTCTCCGATTGCCAGCACTTTCGTCACGAACCTCTCGGTGATGAATTTCTCAAACACCATAGGCCATGTCAGCACCGGCATACCAGCCACCACCGTTTCCAGGACCGAGTTCCACCCGCAATGCGTAACAAACGCACCCACGGCGTGGTGCGCCAGTATCAGTCTGCGGAGCCCAGCCGGTGACGACCATCCCCCTGTCCCCAACACGCTCCGTCCATCCCTCCGGTGGCACCCATGTCTCCGACCTGATAACCAACAGGAATTGCTCCTCAGAGGCCTCTAACCCAAGAGCTAGCTCACGGAGTTGGCCCTCTGAGACGTGAGTCAAGCTCCCAAAGCACAAGTACACCACAGACTTGGATGGCTTCTTGTCCAGCCAGTCGATGCACTGTGAGTCGTAGGCGCCGGTTGCCACCTGCTGTGACGGCAATGACAGGGGCCCGACAAAGTAGGCTCGCTTCACGTAACCATTGCCTACGAACATCTCGCAATGCCTATGCTCCAAATCAAAGAACGTGTTAACAAGTCCAAAGCACCGGTTGTGCGCTGAGTATACAGGGTTGCCTGTGGCACGGGCGTCTGTAATTTGTTGCCTCCTTAGCTTCTCGGGTAGCTCGGTGGTTGGGACCTGAATTTCTGGCGGTGAAAACCCAGGAAGAGTCACCACGCCGCCGTTGGCGTTGATGGCACCGGCAGCATGTGACAAGTTAAACATGGCCAGCGTTGGGAAGGTCCCAATGACATGGAACGTGACGCACGGCACGCCGATGTCAGTGGTGACATCGACGTTTCACCAGAAGTGTCCGTCGGTGATGACGAGGTCCGGCGAGTGCTCGCTGATAAGACTCTCCTGCCCTGGCCGCATCAGCTTCTCGTCTATGGCGACGCCGCCAGGCGTCGGCGGCCTTGACCGTGGAGAGGTTCTCCACTCCCAGTGGAAGGCCGTTCACGGATGGGAACGGGTAGGTGGCCACCTTGATTGTGGCCTGATGACTGACGCGCGGGGCGAGTGCTGACTGGACGATTGAAGCGTTCGCCGGAGTGACAGCAACAGTGGCCTCGACATCGTCAGGCCTGGCCGCGGCGAGGTGGAAGGCCAGGTCGGTGACGGGGCCGATATGGCTAGTGGCGAAGAAGGGCATGAGGAGGATGCGGAACTTGTTGCTCTGCCTAGCGGAAGCCATTTCCTTTGCAGTTCCTCTGCAACAAGGTCCTCTTGCTTTATAACATGGTGACTATTTAAGCCGTACGTCGTCGGTTGCACCAACCGGCCGGCTGGTAGTGGGTAGCATGTGTGGACTATAGGGCGTTACACGTCGGCGCCACTGCTAGCGACGGCGACGATAATGCCTGGAGACCGACTCATCGCCACCTGTGCTAGCGACGATAAGGTTCATTTGGAGCGAGAAGGCTTGTGTGGCTGTGCGCCATGGAATTAAAAGAAAATCGTAATGTTCTGTGAACCTCTGAAAAAATTCAGCGATTTTTAGCGTCACTGTTCCAAATTTTTTGTGCTATCAATGACACTGCCGTCAGTTTAGGCTCTAACGGCGTCAAACTGCAGGTGTGAAAAGTCAAAATACCCTTAAGTTTAAATATGTCATTAATTTTTTTGAACATCTTAACGACTTTAAATGAAAAACTCAAAACTAGAAAGTTGTTGATCTCGCCAAGATCTATAATTTTTATATAAAAATTATCTTCATTTAATTCCGTAAAAAAAGATATGATTTTTCTAAGATATATTAATCATATCAAATCATATTTTTTTGGGAATTAAATGAAGATAATTTTTATATAAAAATTATCGATCTCGACGAGATCTACAACTTTCTAGTTTTGAGTTTTTTCATTCGAAGTCATTAAGATGCTCAAAAAAAGTTAATGACATATTTAGACTTAAGCGTATTTTTTGACTTTTTTTCAGACTGCAGCTTGACGTCAAGAAAGATAAACCCATCGAACAGTAATGATGATAAAAAAAAAAAAAAAAAATTTGAAACAGCAGCGCCGAAGACCGCTAATTTTTTTTTAAGACTCAACAGGCATTACGATTTTTTTTTAATAGCAGACAGGACTGCTGTCAGCTGATGGCCCGTGGCCGCGGCCCGTGCTCGCGCAGGAGGAGGCATGTTGCGTCAGAATCCGGCCAAGTGAGGTCAGGAAGGAATCAAAGCGATGGCGAATTTCGTCTCGGCCACGTCACAGTTACCGCACTACAACTGGGAAACAAAAACGGTGGATCGGACGGATGAGGCCCTCGCCTCTGACGTCGACGGTACCGATCCCAGCCGTTAAACTCTCGGGCCCACAATCCGGACTCCCACCCGCACCCGCTGACGAGCGCCGAGCTCTCGCAATCCCGGCCCAAATCGACGCCCAGGGCCGCATGATCCGCGCACCTCGACTCCTCGCCGGGCACGCGCCGTCGCTAATCCGCCACCGCCTACCCTGTCCCCTAGCCCCGATCCCTGCTAGCTACCGCCGCCGCCTTCCTTGGTCGCCGCGCGCGGCCTTCCTCGCCTCCCAAGCCCCAACCCCGACGCCGCGCCTCGCGTCGTCGTCCCGCCTCGGCCCGCTTCTCGGCCTGCCGATGGATCCGGCCGCCCCCGAGCCTGTCCCCGCACCCGCCACCGAAGCCGACGCCGAGACCAATTCTTACGAGGACGCCGCGGAATTCGAGGACGCGGAGGCTGGGGCCGAGGGCGCCGGGGCCGGGGCCGGGGCCGGAACGATGCCGGCGGGCGGTGACGCGGAGATGAAGGAGCTGCCCGAGGAACTGGCCAAGGGGGTGGTGTGCCTCGAATGCGAGACATCGGCCGAAGCGGCGGCGGCGGGGGTTGGCGGGACCTGCCGCGTCTACGTCGTCGGCACCGCTCATGTGTCGCAGGTGAGCTGATGTTCCGTAGTCTGCCGATGCCGGTATGATGTATAAGCGGTCGATGATTTCGTGAACGAACTCTAGGCGCTCGAATTGGGTTCTGCGTGTAGGCATTGCATGTGATGCAGAGAACACTGCCTGTTCTGATTGCTTCTCCTGCTGGTGTAACTTTACTACTTTGGAGTTGGGAGACAAATAGGTTGTGCATAATAACTAGTAGAGAAACACAAGGATTTTGTACTGAATCAATCTGCCTTTTCTGCGCGGATTTCGTCTATACTAAGCCGTCCTGCGTTGCTGCATATCTAGAGTTTGGAGTGTGAATGTATCCAACGGACGTAATTAGTCCAAATCATGGCATGGTTATTTGACTCTTGAGTTTGTTGCAGGAATCATCTGATCAAGTGAAGGCCATTGTCAACTACCTGAAACCTCAGGTTCTTCCTCTACTCATCATCCATACATTTTAGTGACTCTTGGACTTTGGCAGGTTTGCTGCCTGTTTTGGGTTGTTTTTGTTTTGTTCTTTGTTGTGGCAAGACATTGCTCTAATTCCTTTGCATCCCTCTTGCATGTGTAGGCTGTTTTCTTGGAGCTCTGCACGAGCAGGATTGCAATTTTGACACCACAAAACCTTCAGGTATCTACACATTTGTAAGATGAATAACAAACCTTCTTATTGCAAGGGACATTCTGCATGATTGTAATTCCTAATGTAAAGTTAGGAAAAATAATAAACTATAATGGTATGCCTTGTACCCCTGTCTGGATTGCTAAACCTATGTGCTTGTCTACACAGGAGTACTGATTTTATTGTGTCTAGACATCTAGTAAAGGTTTTTCATGGTTTCCTTATATAACTAATGGCATCAGTCCTTATAACTAAAACTATATACCTTAAATGACATACAGTACTATTTTAAAGAAAACTTTAAGTCTTATTAATGGCATCAGCCAAACAGAAGATGCCTACCTTTTATTTTCTAGAGTATAATGTATCATCTAGTTCATCGTCTAATCTGTTCCCACAGGTTCCTACTATGAATGAAATGATTGACATGTGGAAGAACAAGAAGATGAACACTTTCGGGATTCTCTACAGCTGGTTTCTTGCAAAGGTATTTTTAGATGTTTGTCTTTACAGTTAGCAATAGTTAAGTGTTCTTATCACTTGATCAACAATTGTTATTGTTATTTAAGGTTGCTAGCCAACTTGAGGTGTTACCTGGAGCTGAGTTCCGGGTGGCATTTGAGGAAGCGATGAGCTATGGTGGTAAAGTTATCCTAGGAGATCGCCCTGTCCAGGTAATCAACCCAGCAATGGAGCCTGGCTATGTGCGTATGAAACTTGGAATAGGCATGGTCAACTTCTGATATTGTTGTTTTCATGCATTTGGCATAATGTTTCAAAACGGAATGGTCATATTTTCTGCTTTCCACATGTCAGTACCTATTGCATACCCATCTTTCTTTACTCTGAAAAACATAGGGATTTTCAGAATGACTAGCATAAGGCTTTTGGATTGTGAATTCATAGCTATCTCCTCTTGCTTATTTTGAAGTCTTCTGTTGTAACATTCCATTGCCTAATATAAGGCTACTTCTGTTGTTATGTGACCCAAAATCCCAAATAGAGACACACCTAGTACTACTTTAGGAATTGCTTTTATTTAGGAATAGAAGATGAAACATTTTAGTGGTTCACCTTTGTTTATTGGCGGTGGTGTTAACCATTGCTAATTGCTGGCATCACATGTTTATTCCTTGCAAATCAGTCCACACCTTTTGAAATCTTTGTTTCTGAAATTTTCTGCACAATAATTTTAAGCATCTTTAATAGTTACTTTTGGTTAGGGCTAACACCATGTCATCTCTATTCTTTATTTGTCTTGAAGATCACTTTGAGGAGGACCTGGGGGAAAATGTCACTATGGCACAGGGCAAAATTTTTGTACTACATTATTTTCCAGTCCATATTTTTACCAAGCCCGGAGGAACTGAATAAGATGGTATGATATTCTCTTGGTTCATACCATTTTATGGGGATAGCTTGTATAATCATGAAAGTTAATATACCTTTTGGACCTTAGGGTTAATATACACAAATAAGTCACTATTGTTGCGGTCACATCTTAATGGCAACTCTTATCTACAGTTAAAGGACATGGATGATGTTGACATGCTAACACTTGTTATTCAAGAGATGAGCAAGGCATTTCCTAGTTTGATGGACACACTTCTACATGAGCGAGATATGTGAGTTCCTTTACTTAATTACTGTGTTAAGCAGACCTTTTTGTTATTTCTGGTGTTACAGTATTGTTAAGGTATAATTGTTAAAATTGTACCTTCAGGTATATGTCTTCAATGTTGTTGAAGTCGGCCAGGGAATATTCTTCAGTGGTTGCAGTTGTGGGAAAGGGGCATGTTTCTGGAATAAAGAAAAATTGGCAACAGCCAATTCAGGTTAGCTTTTTTTTTCAAACAAAAACAAACCCTAAGCTGCATGTCATATGTATCACGTCATTTAGGAATATAGGAAATGGATCACTGGTTTTATACCGTTCTCCAGGTTAATGTTTGATTAAAAATTAAATATTCTATAAATAATACGCACACTTTAATCTTCGGCGTTCCTTGCAGGTAAAATGTTTATTAGAACTACCTGATGATAACCAAGGTCCTTCAAAGCTGAAAATTTTGGCATCCATTGGAGCATTAAGCGGAGTAATAATAGCATCTGGAATATATATATGGGGTAGAAAATAACAGACGTGAGCGCAATGTATTAAATGTGCCTTAGTCTCTAAAAATGTATTTAGTTACCTATAATTTGTTTCATTTGTTCTAAATATAAATAGATGTAATTTCTGAAATTGAAGTTAAACAAATGAAAGGACAGGTACACCAGATAATGAAACATGTTTTTTTTCCCTAATGGTATGCCTTTTCTTTTTCTTCTGGACAATCTGCTGCTCCCTCAGTCACTAAATAAATCTCTTCTAGAAGTTGTCCTAAGTCAAACTTTCTTAAGTAGTTAAGTTTGACCTAACATACAAAAAAAGTACCAACATATATGGCAAAGAAGTATATTTTGAAAAATACATTTCATGTTGTATCAAACTATACTAATTTTTTATCATATAAACATTAGTCTTGTTTTCTATACAATTCGGTCGCACCTAAAAAAGTTTGATTTAGGATAACTCCAGAATTTGATTATTTAGCGACAGTGAATAGTAAATAACTCCCATTCCATGTATTAAGCATACACACTCGACGAATTGAGACGTTCACTGCCCT